ATCGCAGGGTTGACATTAAGTTAAATATCCAAAACACTCGTTCAATTAACAAGATTTTTTAGTACCCCACTGTCTTGGTCTTAATGTCTTCCCTTTTCGAAAACGCATGGCCTCAGAATTACTCTTCGAATGGGTGTCTATCAAAGTCCCCCAGGTAAAATACCCCAAGCTAAAAAATGGTTTTGTGACACAGCGCTCTGTAGTTTTATAAAGCTTATCCAAATTCTCCTCAGGAAAGGTCTTGACAAAAGTCATTTACATTTTCTTATTTACTTGAGGAAAAATAAAGTTATAATAATATAAGACAAGGAAGGGAAGGGCCCAGCTGAATCCAGGTCATGTGAAGCAACTTCCGGCAGAGTGACGCGTGCTGTTAGCACAACCACAGCAAAGAAAGAGTAAGTAATGTCACAAATTTGGGAAATGCAGAGGGAACATATGGGCAATAGGTTAGGTGCATCGCGGAATAGTTGGGTAGCAGGAGCATTCTGTCCCCAGGGAGTTCTGCGTCCTGCACCAAGCTTGCAGTTGGGGTCGGGCTGGCAACCCAGTCCTGTAAAAAAAACCCTCACCAGCAGGCAAACCAAGAAAAGAGAAAAGGGGTCGGAGCCATCCCGGAGGAGGATGGAGCTTATCCGATCGGGATGTCGAGCCTGGTATGACGAGTGTAGGACAAAGCCCTCCCAGGGAATCCTGCACCCTGAGGCTACGTGGTGGGGGAGGGATGGCCCCTCCGGCCCCTACTCTTCCTCCTCTGGAAGCTTTGCCTGGTTGTGCCGCGGCGTCGCCCGGCCGGAGGCCCACAAATGGGGTCAATCAGCGGCGGGCGTGCCGTGTAGCGTCCTGGAACATCCTCAGTCTCTCGGAGGATGATCGACTGCCTTTGTAGTCGGGGGAGGCTGGGGATTGCCATCGCTGATCTCTCTGACGTGAGACGGCCTGGTAGTGGTGAGGCCAGTAGTGGGGGTTAATATGGTGCGCGCCTTAGGGGAGTCGCGTTGGCTGTCTCTGAACGCTTCTGTTCCTCAGTTCCCTGAACACTATAGAGATGAATTGTGCTGCCAGACTGGATGGGAACCATGTCTTGATCAGGTCGCTCTGCTAAGGCCTCTTTGAGAATGGACCAAGAAAGGTACGTTAGGGGCATCGTGGAAGAGTTGGAAAGTCATTTTGCCCAAAATGACCTTCGACCTGCTTCCTGAGGGAACTCCAGTCGGAGTCCATCTCTCAACTGGGCTCGGTGAGGGCAGAGGATGGTCGGAATCGGGTGAGTAAAGGGCCCGCTGGGCTTTGAGCAAACTGTATAGGGTAGATCCCCCTGTCTTCACAACTCCCGTTGGCAGGCACACAGCCACTAGTGGCTGATCCACCAATCAGTGAGGCACCAACTTCCATCGAAGAGGTGAGAAGGGCGGTGTCTAGGCTGAAGAGTGGAAAGGCTGCTGTGGGATTGCTGCGGACTTGTTGAAGGCGGATGGAGAAGCCATGATCTGTGGTTTGCATGCAGTCCTGTCTGCCGTTTGTGAGACTGGTACCATTCCTCCTGCCTGGAAAAGGGGCTTGGTCATCCTTACCTGGAAAGGGAAAGGGAACCAAAGGGACTGTGGCAACTACAGAGGTATTAAATTGCTCAGCGTACCAGGCAAGGTCCTCGCTCATCTACTTTTGGCGCGAGTGCGCGACCACCTTTTACGAGCACTGAGACCTAAGCAGTCTGGTAAAATGTAGTAAAATAGTTAAAATAATGAAATAGCTCGCTTGGAACTTAGTCGTTTTGATACATATATTATGTATTATATTATGTAAGTATAGATGATAAATCAATATCATGATTTATGATGAATATGTATGGTAAGATCATTATGATAAATATGCATGATGATATAAATCTAATAATTATACTTGATAAAATGATTATGACAAATATGTACGATTAGATGTTTACGATAAATATAGGTAATTAAATGATTTTGATAAACGACAGGCCAGAATTGTATTGTAATCATATATTACAGAAACACTGTGGTAAATATACACCACACACATATGCACGACAGCCACGATAGCTTATTCAATCTTCGAAGTTGCCCCACCTATATATTGGCTATTTTCCAGCTTACTGGTCACAGGACAAATAGAAGCGTCGCTTACTTAAAATGCTCGATTTCAGTCAACAAACATGCGGCGAGATCATTAATCTCGACAAACTCCGCCTTCCAGCCCCGCACGCGTAAACAGTGTTCACGTCACGGCTAAATTCAAAGGACATTCCATGTATATATAATAAGCATACTTGAACAATATGAGGATGCCCAAATGCAATATTCATTTAAAAATCGTATTGATCGTAATATATATGATTGAAATTGCGTGTGCAGTTGAGTACGTATTTTTTTTTAGCAGAGTATACTATATATTCTCTTGTGTTCCAATCGCCAGTTCCAAACGACTCGGGCTGTTCCACAAAACATTCAATAAAAGTGTCGCAATAAGAGGATCATACCAACTTAAGGCGAAGTGGGAAAGTGGCGTATTCCTGCCAACCTGTTGTCGAAAAATGCTCGTGCGAGCGCTTGAGGCTTAAACCCACCACGACTTTTGTGCATCACAGCCCTCCATTTGGCCAGTTTGAAGGTTAGTGGCTGCAAAGATTTATTTCTGAACATCATTTATTTTTAGCTGGACGTTTTCTCTTAGCGTTAGGGGTGACGGGGGGGGGAGAAGCCTTCTAGAACGACATAAAGGGAACGTCCGCGTTTTTAAGATAGATATATGGATAGACAAACAGACAGAGAGATGGACAAATAGACAGATAGATAGAAAGAGGTAGATAGATAGATAGATAGATAGATAGATAGATAGATAGAGAGAGAACTAGAGAGAGAGAATAAGAGAGCTAGAGAGAGAGAATAAGAGAACTAGAGAGAGAGAATAAGAGAACTAGAGAGAGAGAATAAGAGAACTAGAGAGAGAGAATAAGAGAACTAGAGAGAGCGAATAAGAGAGCAAGAGAGAGAGAAAGAGCGAGAGACACTTTTTGTTGACAGTCCGCCTGCATCCTATTTCCTTAACTCACCTCTATTTCCAGCCCCCCCCGGTCCTCTCACGTGGCCTTGACGCGCCCTTCAGACTCACTCCATGTATTAAGTTCGCCTTTCCTGCACGCGTGTTGGTCCTCGCCCTACACCTGACGCCGCACGCCAGCAGGCCAGACTAATTTTACATGCAGCGCGTATTTATTTGCATTTTTAAATGGGCTTTTAGTTTGCTTCTATTTGCATTCATGAATCCAAATATATATATGTATATATACATATACACATACATACATATATATATTTATATATATGTATATATATTTATATATGTGTATATATATCCATATATGTATATATATACATACATATATATATATATATATATATATATATATATATATATATATATATATATATATCATATATTTATATATATAACCAAAATGTTTACGATGTTAGAATATAACAGAAGCGAAGAATTATTCCGAAATAGAGAAATAGAGAAAAATGAGAAAAGATATGAGAATTATATATCAAAAGCACAATTGGGAGGATGTACCCGGAAGTGAAACAGGAACACCTAATTAGTACGAGCTCGTGCGCCTGGCCAAGATGTTGCAGAAAGCTTGCCTGGTGCGTACTGTGTCAGTCTTAATAGCAACGTAATCTGCATAATTGCAATATGATCTGGTCTACTCTGACCTCAGGCTTGTAATTATGACATGTATAATTGTCGTAGACTTGGCTTGCCATTTGATGCTTAATTACATTTATTTGGATGATATCTCGCAGAGTCCAGGTTGAGTGATAATTCGAGTGTTTGTTCCAATGTTGCACTGATAATCTTGTGAAGCTTTGGTTAGAATCTCTGCATTCAGCGCTTGCTTTCATGGATTCGTACTATAATATTGCGACGGTCGTCTGCAGTAAACAGGTCGATTCGCTTCTATTCTTGTCTCGTTTATATCTAATAAGCTGACAAACAAAGGTCGCCTCGAACACTAAACGCGCCGTCATGCACATCATTATGCCGACTAACCTTGCAAACCTTGCAACAACTAACCTTATTCCGACTTACCTTAAACCGACCTAGTTCATCCCGACTAATCTTACATCAATCGACTTTATCTCGATCAGTCTTATAATAACGAACTCTACCCAGACCTTATCTCGACTAGCCTTACACTGACCAACCTCATCCCCACTAGCCTTACACCGACCAACCTCATCCCGACTAGCCTTACACCGACCAACCTCAACCCGACTAGCCTTACACCGACCAACCTCATCCCGACTAGCTTTTACACCGACCAACCTTATCCCGACTAGCCTTACACCGACCAACCTCATCCCGACTAGCTTTTACACCGACCAACCTTATCCCGACCAGCCTTACATCGACTAACCTCATCCCGACTAGTCTTACACCGACCAACCTCATCCCGACTAGCCTTACACCGACCAACCTCATCCCGACTAGCCTTACGCCGACCAACCTCATCCCGACTAGCCTTACACCGACCAACCTCATCCCGACTAGCCTTACACCGACCAACCTCATCCCGACTAGTCTTTACACCGACCAACCTCATCCCGACTAGCCTTACACCGACCAACCTCATCCCGACTAGCCTTACACCGACCAACCTCATCCCGACTAGCCTTACGCCGACCAACCTCATCCCGACTAGCCTTACACCGACCAACCTCATCCCGACTAGCCTTACACCGACCAACCTCATCCCGACTAGCCTTACACCGACCAACCTCATCCCGACTAGCCTTACACCGACCTACCTCATCCCGACTAGCCTTACGCCGACCAACCTCATCCCGACTAGCCTTACACCGACCAACCTCATCCCGACTAGCCTTACACCGACCAACCTCATCCCGACTAGCCTTACACCGACCAACCTCATCCCGACTAGTCTTTACACCGACCAACCTCATCCCGACTAGCCTTACACCGACCAACCTCATCCCGACTAGTCTTTACACCGACCAACCTCATCCCGACTAGTCTTTACACCGACCAACCACATCCCGACAAGTCTTTACACCGACCAACCTCATCCCGACTAGTCTTTACACCGACCAACCTCATCCCGACTAGTCTTTACACCGACCAACCTCATCCCGACTAGCCTTACACCGACCAACCTCATCCCGACTAGCCTTACACCGACCAACTTCATCCCGACTAGCCTTACACCGACCAACCTCATCCCGACTAGCCTTACACCGACCAGCGCTATCCCAACCAACCTTATCCCAGCGAACCACACACCACCGACCTGCGAGCCGACACTTTGAGACCCACGTCACCGCATCCATCTCTCCCACAATTTCCAAACTTATAAGAAGGTAAAAATTAAGAGTCCGAAAATGCACGCACGTATCTTACGCGGCGCAATCTTCGAACGTAGCCAGATTTACATGCCAATTCAGTTCGAGCCGCGTCTCGCTATGCAAAGCAGACACGCGGCGAACGAATGGCGGCCATGAATCGAAGACCTTGCGAAGGAGGAACATTAGACAACCGTACGTCTTCGAAAGGGAGGGAAGGAGGGAGAGATAGATAGATAGAGGAATAGAGAGAGAGAGGAAGAGAGAGAGAGAGAGAGAGAGAGAGAGAGAGAGAGAGAGAGAGAGAGAAAGAGAGAGAGAGAGAGAGAGAGAGAGAGAGAGAGAGAGAGAGAGAGAGAGAGAGAGAGAGAGAGAGAGAGAGAGAGGAGACATCGTCATCATTATGATAATAGTGGTAATAATAATGGTAACAGCAGCAATAACAACAACATTAATGATTATAATGATAAAGGTAATGATAATGGTGATCATGATAAAGATAATTATGATGATTAATATAATAATGATAATAATGACAATAATGATAAGTTTGATATCGATTATAATAATAATAGTAATAATAATAATAATAATGATAATAATAATAATGATAACAATAATAAAAAGGAAGCAAGCTCAGAACAACAGCAATAATGAAAATGTAAATAATGATTATGACCATAATGATAGCAGTACTGATAATGTTCAAAATAATAAGAAAGAAAATTATGACAGCAGCGGCAAAGCACGGGAAGATTTAAACAATAACCTGTTTTACAAAAAATCGAACATTAACGCAACCCAAACTTCGCGGATTTTGACGCACAACCAATCCTAACGCACCTGTCTATGAAACTGCGGACCCAGACCGATAAAGTAGACATTAATCTGCTTAGGCTTCGGCAGTCCTTGCGTGGGTTTGGCGTAGATATCCGGGAAACCCTTTCAGGCACTCGGTGGAAAGGCTTTCGAAATTCAAGCACAGTGCCAATCAGGCGACGATTGTGTCGTGGATGCTAATCTTGTCTCTCTGCCAGTGCGCTTCTGCTTTATCTGTAACAATCATTGAAGTCTTTGATATAATATGAAGCTGAAGATCTATGTCTTGCCATTCAATAACGAGGAATATATATAAATATTTTTTTTTGCAAACTGTCGATCTACACCTTACCGGGAATAGATAGATAATATCTATGGCAAACGTTTGATAACCTTTCGATGAATCGCTGAGGGATGTTTGTTGTTTTGCCCTGGCCTGAGTTTCTTGCATGGGTACGAGAGACATGGCTGCCGCTGTCATTGGGAACTGGGGTGAAAATATTGATGATGACGGGAATCGTGATGAAAACACGTTAAGGCGCTTCATAATGGCAATGACGCTGAACAGCTACTGCAGGAGAGTGGGAACACCACCGTCATCGTTAGTGATGATGATAATAATAGTGATGATGACCAGGACAACAAGATGATAATGATTATGATGACAATGATAATAATGTTAATGATAATAATAATGATAATGATTATGATAATAACAGCGACAACAACATGAACAATGATAATAATAACAATAGTAATAGTAATGATTATAATTATAATGCAGTGAAGATGACAGTGATAATAACAACCACCACAATGGCAATAATGGCAACAAGAACAACAACAACAATAATAATGATAATAATAATAATAACAACAGCAATACTAATAATGATGATGATGATAATGATGATGATGTTGATGATGAATGATAACGATAATGATGACATTATTATCACTATAACACAATGATAACAATAACAATAATAATAATGATAATAATAATAGTATTAATAATATTATTATCATTACTATTACAATTATTATCATTATCGTCGTCATCATCATCACCACCATCATTATTATCAACAATGTAAACAGTATTAGTAATAAGAATATTCATCATATTCAGTATTACCACTGAAGATAATGGTGAACATTGCGTTTATTGTAAACATCCATTTTATTTGTGTCTTCATCCTGTTCCCGTAAATATCACTTACCTGTTATATTTATGCAACGTATCACATATCAGTATTGAATATTTGTGAATAAGTAAGAAGCGAGCGATGTA